AGATTATGTTTGTCTGGAACAGAAATTATTATTAATCAGGGGATATACCACTTAAAGGAACTGATCAACTCCTTGTTGCAGACAGTAAGAGTTTTATTCAGTGCTGAGGTTTCTTTACCCTTTCTTTGGAATTTTAAAGTATTTGCTATGATTGCAAAAGATTTCTTAACTAATGGGTTACTAGAAAGTAGTAGCCTCGCAGAGCTGGGAGAAATTTATTAAAGAGACATGCCTTTAGTCAGTTGCAAGAGGCAGCTTGAAGTTACACTTTTCGGTTTGTTTTTCTAAATTCTGAAATATTTTCCAATATATTTATAGGGTCTTCTCATGGGCTTGCAATTATCCCTTCCTCTGACTGCAGAGGGATTTGTATAGATCAGAAGAAACCCTGCAAATAAGAATGCTTTGCATAGGAGGACCTAAAGAATACCTGTGACTTTCTGGACTGGGAGCAGAAAGCCAAGCAGGACACCCATGGTGTCTCACATCACACTAGGTGCCTGTGTTCAGGCACTGAATTTCACACCCAATTCTGCATAATCTCTTTGTCTCCTTCCAGAATTTCTCTTGTCGTAAACCAGGTGTCTGAGGGGTGTGATGTCTTGCTCTCCAGAGATATCTATCTTTTCCTTCTGACAGTACTGACTGGTTGTTTTCAGGGAAGGATGAAGGTTAATGCTGGAAACTTACTTGTAGATGGCTAAATTTAATGGAAATTAAATGGAGACAGTAATATCATTCCACAGTGCATATCTATTCATGAAAATATATTAGCAGTCCTTCGGGGCTTTCAATTATCCAGCTTCTGCAATTCCAGATTGAAGGCTGGCAAATATCTTGGCAAGTAACAGTTATTTTTAAGTTTGATATTTTAAGTTAATTTAGTGCTCAGCTTAACTGAGTTGTTAGTGCTTCTGGAGCAGAATGAATATTCCTTAGGAAATAGAAGTGGAGATTTACTTATACTCCCCTTCAGTTCTGGCTTGGAAAATCTAGTTCGGCTTGCTTGATTGCCATTTGATTGTGGTACTATTACACTGTATTTGGTTTGATTCTGGAAATTAGCGAGTGATACAATTAATCTAGAGAGAGCAGGAGCATTCTTGTCAAATACTAAGCAGTGAAGATCTGTGCCTCGGGAGACAGAGAATACTTATCATTGTTTTAGATTTGCATCAAGTGTACAGTATGTTAATTGGTTGGATAAAAAAAAAAGTTAATTTCTTCTCTCTGAGGTTGACAATATAACACTGATTGGCAGAGATTATAAAAGTGGTTTTTGAATATCATAACCTGATTAGTCTGAAACAAGAATCTCATTTAACATAAACTGCAAATCAATTTGCTTCTTAATTGCATTCAAATTGTACTCTTTTCTGGCTAACATAGCACACTGTATGACAGAACTAGGTCTTCTATCTCTCTTTTGGTCAGCTAAAAAATTATTTATATGTTCATAGGAGATTAGAATCACCATACAGACCTTTCTGTTTCTATTTTTCATTTTCTCAATTATGAAAGCCAATCTCTCTGGTTAAAGGAAACATACTGGGTGCTCAGAGACTTTATGCAATAAAAGAAATGAAGGCAAAAAGAGGTATGTCATTTCAACTAATTGTTTTATACCTAGATTTATGACTACAGACTTCGGTTTGACAAGTGTGATTGTCACATCCTTGCAGCCTTTATACTACAGACTCTGGGATGAGCTAGGCATTAATTCAGCTGCCATTTCAACTTTTAGGGTTTGTCTATCCTTAGACATACTTCAGCTCATTTTGCCTGCAACATCTTGAGAACCAGCAGTGCAGCAGAATTAAGACTCAGAAACTACACAGGTTCCCTGGACATGAATGACTGTCTAAAAGTAGATTATCTGTCTTAAACTAGAACATGCTAAGACAACTATATGACTTCTTAGCCTGAACTGGTAAATCTATGATTACCAGTATGTGTAAGAGTTAATTAGAGCACATCTCTGATAGTCTGAACATTGCTGCATGATCCTTTAAAATTTCACATCCTACAGTGTCCCATCTACAGGTTTTTTCAATGTATAGGCAATTGATTAAAAAGCTGTGATGACCAAATAATACTGCCTTTCTTTGAAAGGATTTTCATGTTGAAGAATGTGAGAGAATATGATGCTTTGCAGGTCAAACAAGCAGATTTTGGCAAGCCAGGGTTTTTCTATTGATGATATCAAGACAACGGTAACTGCAAGGCTAGAGGCCACCAGCCTCTTTCAACTGAAAAGCCCATATCTCAGCATTTATATGGTTGGCAGCCAAAGACACATAATATCTTTCTGGAGAACTTTGGAGAGAGGACACAGCTTACCTAGAAGTCCCTTACGCTGCGGTGAGATGGTCCACCCCAGCTTCACCAGTGACAGTTAGACATTGATGCTGCCCAGACTTCTATGGTTGGAGATTTAGCAGCTGTCATGTCAACATAAGTCTGCTTCGGGCAACATTAATGAGCTCTGGGGTTTTGTTTTATATTTGATGTGCTCTAGAGGCAAATGTTGGTTAAGGTCTTTGAGCTGGCTTTGCTTGACATAAAGCTTGGGACATACTACCCTTCCTAGATGTAACTGCTGCAGAAACCGCAGCCTCCATCCTTCATCTGGGGCCCTACCTGCACATATACATTAAAAATGTGTATCAGATATGACATGAGACATTCTACGTTCATTTAATCTTCATCAGGTTTCCTAGAGACGTGATAGATGGAAACATTCAAGGTCAGGTTGGACAGCGCTTTCAGCAACTTGATCTAGTTGAAGATGTCCTCGTTCATTGCAGGGAGGGGTGGACTAAATGACCTTTAAAAGTCCCTTCCAGCACAAACTATTCTATGATTCTATGTTTGTTAAACATACTCATTTTATATACGTTCTCAGGTGTTTTGGTTACATCTCAAAGCCATAAACTTCATCTGCATGTTTGGTTTCAGTCTCAATTCTTTCCACCTTAAATTACTCCAGTGGGCAAAATTATAAATAGTTTCTGACTTTATTCAGGTCAGTGTTTATACAGTTGCTTTAAATACATGCACATACACAGTATAAGCAAGACAAACTATTATTCTTCAATACATTTTCAAAATCTGCTTAAAATATACATGGAAACATTGAGGTTTAGCATGGGGAAAGAACAGCAGCTTGGTGTGTAAGAAAGACATGACCCTAACTAACTTCTGCTGCCCATTTTTTGATGGATGCAGAATAAAGACAATAGACCTTTTACCACAGATGTTACAAACAGTAGTTTATCTGTTTCTTGATGAATGGGCTGTTTCACATTTATGATTTCTTTTCTCATTTATGAATCCTCCATAACAGACTTCACTATATTTTTCTGTTTAACCTTTGTTCTATAGAACACAGCATGCCATGTTATGTGCTAACACCCACTAAGTGTTAAACTACTCCTTGGAGGTTGCGACCGCTCGGAGCTCCCCCTGAAAATGAAGCATCTTCAAGCCTCCCAGAACTCAGGAACGTTTTGAGAACTTTTCCCCAACATATGGTAGAGAGAAATAATTTATTCTTTGTTCAATACTGGGCACATTTATGCAGCAGTGGAAAGCTGCACGTCAGGAACTTAAATTCCACAATTTCAGCTGTGTTTGTAAAAACCTGCTACATGAACACATAACACCTCAGAAGGTTCACTTAAATATGACAAAGAGGTGTACAGTTTCCATGTGCTGATAGTTGGCTCATTCTTGCATTTTTTGGTCAGCCAACCTCTCACTCATTTCATCTGAAGTTCTCTGGATGTTTTCTTTACATAAGAGCTGTGGGACTAATGTTACTGAATGTATCCACAAAAAGTACAGCTGCAAAAAATTTACTGCACTATTTTTCTTAGAATTATACTAATTTTCTCCACACGGAGAAAAGGACACTTTTCCATATGTACTTGAATTTTCAGTGACAAATAATGTATGTTTACGTCCAATTATTTCTGTCTGTGATTCATTATAATTAAAATCTTAAAATTATCAACTACATCAGTATCTGCATGTCACAGACACCTGGTAAGTTCAAATTTATTGAGCTTGTATAATAATAAAAATATATAACTCTCTACGTGCTATTGTCTTATATTAACAGTGATGAAAGTAGTCCTGGATGATTCAAGGACAATTTTGTTCCACTTTCAAATGTCTCCCTTTCAGTGCAAAAAGTTGATAATTTCTTACACTTCCAAAATCTCTGCCTGTTCCTTTGTATGCAGCTGTCACACTGAAATTGCTCTAGGCTTACACGCTCAGCTTTGTCTCTCTATTCATGTTTCAGCATCTAAAAACCCAGACTGAAGATGCAAAGCTGTTACTTTCTACTATTTTTGGGGAAAAAAATGGAGTCATAGTGTACCTTGCGCTTGTTAAAATTGTAGCTTTAGAATAAATAAATGCTTCAAGCAATTACTGCAGTGCAATGACTTTAGTCTGCCAAGACTGACCTAAATGAAACTTTATTTCATTTTTAGCTTGTTCCAATTTCATGGTTGATTCTTGCTCAGTGAAAGTCCGCCAGCCTTATCAGATCTTCCACATCAACTTCTGGTGCTGCTCAGGCACTTTTACAAGATTTCTCTTTGGTGCGGAGGCTGAGACTAGCAGATGTATTTGCAGAATCATGGGCTGGAGTTGGTAATGCAAATATCTGCTTCCTTTTCTAGCAATAGCCCACATTTATTCTGCCTTTCTTCAGTAAGCCATAATAAAACATTAAATATTTTTAGGGAATTAGCTTCAAAACCCTACTCTGTTATTGTGGCAGAAACCGTGTTCAAAATCAAAGTAGAAATCTTTCATAAGTTAATCATTTTAAGGTCTTATTTAAAGACACAGTAAGGTGTCTTAAGGTACAGTACCACCAGAACGTCTTCTTTTGTTAAATATTTCCATAAGGCAACAGCTTGTAAAAAAAAAGTTTTAAGTAAAACGTATATATCTTTTCAGTTTGTGGGAACAGAGGTAATTGTCTATTTAGTCTCATTTGATACAAATCCTCCATTTGTTTTAGCATGTGATGACATTGATTTTGAATCCTCTTTTTCTTCTGTCTTTGTTTTGACCCGGTGTCTTCTGTAAAGGCGGTAGCCTAGGAATTGGTATATATTTAGTATTAAATTAACGAATTATAACAATTACCTGAAAAAGACAAAGTGTAGCCATGCAACATTTTCCTTCCTTATATTGCTAAAACACTCCAACATCTACAGATGATTTCTTTAAAGCTATATTTAATTATATTATGTCAACAGTACTCATCACTGGAAAAGTACATTTAGAAAATAGCAAGGAAAATATTTTAAATTCTGCACTTGGTGCTTGACTGCTTGCTACTCCTGTTGTGTGCAGGGACTTTTAAAAGTATTGCCTGTCTCTCTTGGGAAGCCTTTGGGTACTTGACTGGGTCCATGGAACTGACCCTTACTTGTACTTGAGTCCTGTTTGGCAGAGGCCAGAACAAAGTGGTTCTTCTGTCCCCACACTGTTGCCTGCCAGAGAGGTTAGAGTGGGGACTGCGCCTTGCTGGTTATGTCCCTGGGGCAGTGCTCTGATGTTGAGTCCAATGGCTGGTTTGGGAATGGGAGCTCAACAGTCACAGCTGGTTTTAAGTGTGAGCAACAGGTACAATGTCCTAACCCTCAGCAGGTCAGTTACAGTAGCTGCAATGCAACTCATGAGACGTGGATGGGGGAAGAAAAAGGGACCTTCACCTTTAACAAAAGATATTTTCTCACACTATCTGTGAAGAGCTAACGCCTGTTCTCTTAGTAGTTTGTAGGAGGGGGAGTTTGTGCATGCTTTTGGGGATGGCTCTGCTGGGCAGCTGTGTGCCCAGGATGCGGTGTGCCCAGTCACCCTGGTGCAGTGGAAGAAGATGCATTTGCCTTCCTTGGCCAAAGGTAACAACAATCCTGTGCTCAATGTATACTCATGTGCCCAGTTATAGGTGGTGGAAATTCCCTTGTGCTGAAAAAAGGGGTCTTCCAAATCTTGAATTGAGCCTTATACAGGGCACAGCACAGTGGCAATGCTCAGTAATATTTGGGTCATAATTTACTTAACTATTTTCCATTTGAACATTTTTATCCATTTCTATTTTCTCCATATCCATGAAAAATGAGACTGATAATAATGATTATTATAATATTATAGTAGAAAGTATTTATACTTTACCTCCTAAAATTATTAGTGCAAACACCAGTTGGAAAATGCTGTAGATGAGTGGGAAAGTAAACATCAGTTCAAGTTGTTCAGGAGAGAATGAGAGTTGTACTATAGTTGAACATAGCTGAGAGTTTTGCATGCCTGTTTCCAGAGACACTGTACGACATCTAAAGGGAATAATACAAAGAGAACTGTGAAATAGCAGCCTGTGGGTCCTTGTGTTTTTCAGTAATCTGGATAAGCGTGAAACATACAGTAATGGATAACTAAGGAAATTGTATCCAGTAAGACACTCCACAAGTTATATGTCTGTTACCACCAGAACACACACAATTTATGGCATTTCAGCAATTGTAAAGGACTGTGATCCACCTTCAAGCCACGTTTATGACACTGACTATCTCCCTCTCTTGTAATGATGCTCTAAATTGTAGGCTACTGAATCTTCATGAGAAATTTTACTGCAGTCCTTAACCCACTTATAAGTCAGGTTTGTTTCACTTATTTGAAGTGTAGGACAAAGGCACACAAGAGGGAGATGTATGAAAGATTGGAGGAAATAGTACAGTCAGAATCTGTAAATACAAATGTGTCCAAGAAAAGTTTAACCTACACATAGTATCTGAGAAACAAGGTTGGGGAATGAGTGAGACTGTAGCGTAGCTAATGATTAGGGAGCATTCTCAGCATCGATTAATCATTAAATAATTTTTTTTTCACAACTGAAAAAAAGCTACATGTCTTTGTCACAGAGCATTCCATACCTGTGCCAAGACAGACCAGCAATGCGGGCCAGAAAGAATCCCAGAGTATAGCCAGCTGCTGGAAATATGGTGCCAATGATCCATAGTTTGGGTGAGATAATCCAGGAGCCTTTGTAGAGTATTCCCCCAACCACAGCAATGAGCACGATGAGGATAGCTCCCACAATAGAACCGATCTGTGATATGAAAGAAAAATGACTGTGAATAAGACACCCTAATAAAATTTAATGGCATCAAACAGTGTCAAACATGCCCGTGAGAGTCTCTGAAACATCTTATTAAACATAGAACCTGAAGTTTACTTCAATGTAATTCATAGCAGGCAGATTAGATAGCTGCCATTTTTCCCAGACAGGAGTTGTACGATATACTTCAATGTGTGACTACAGATATAGATCAAGGCACAGCTATAATAGATATCTATACCAGATACCTGTAAAACTAGTCTCTTGAAGTCTTGGCTATAATTGTACCTAGAAATTGAGATTAAAAATAATTTCACAGGTGTAACATGAGCGAGGAATGATGCACACATTCAAAAAATTTCCCCAGAGCTGCTGGGAAACTGGCAGACTAATAGCTGGTATAGCACACTTTTCCTCCCCGCTTCTTGGGCAGTCACACTCTGGGGCTTAGTATAGCATATGCTAACTAGACACTAGATTGCTAATGATAGGAAATTATTTGCCAAGTGAAGGAATATGTCTTTAAAGTGGCTGAAAATCTGTGTTTGAAAACTGGTTGTGAGCTCATATAACATTTCTAAATAGACATAGTCACTGCATCAATCTGATTTCCTGTGGCTGAACATGCTGAGGTCTTCACTGTTGCTTGCCAAAAAAAAGTGATAACTCTCTTCTCAATACCCAAATAAAACAACTGCCCTTATGGCATATGATACTAGGAATCTCACCAGCAGACTTCTGAGGCTAAGCTTAGGAGAATCCATTTCTCAGCTAAAATGTGTATTCCCACTGAACTGGCTTCATCAGTTGTTGGCTGAAGCCTTTTTAGGACCACTGAGTGAACAAATACTTTTGTTTGACTGAGCTATCAACCACATGCACCTAGGAAAAAGAAACATGATGTAGCCATGACAAGCTCTTCTGTTTCACATGGCACACTGTCTTTATGCTTTTGTCTTAATTTCTTTCTATACAGACCTTAATCTGACAGCAACAGCTCAATTTTCACTTGATGTTTCATTGTCCTACATAAAGCAAACTCTCAATGGACACTACTGTGGGTTGCTTACCCACTCGGTAAGAAAGAGGAAGAAATGGCATTTTGCTGAGAGAGCAAGCAGAGTGTATTTTCATGTTCAAGTTCAAGTTCATGTTTTTCCCTTAACTGATAAAATAGGAATAGTACAGTTTTGAAACCAGCACTCAATGGTATACAAGTACATAAGTAAGTTGTGTGCACATTTGAAAATACAACACAATAAGCTAACAGTTCAAGAAAATGAATTGACTTATTTGTTTAAAAGATCTTATTTGTGTTCTACACTACCCAACTTGATAGCAGAGAAATGCTAACAAAGTATAGGTAGAATAACAGGTTGCTAGATTAGTTTTCTAACTAGTATTTTCTAACTAATCCATATTTTTGATGCATTTGAGACTATCTTGCAAAGATAGTTGAACTTCGTAAATAGTTTTGTTAGTTTTTCTTAATAAAAGTTGACTTCTTACTCAAAAAATAATAAACTGGCTTAAAAGAAGACAGTGCTTTTAGATCTAGGATGTTTTCATTTTTGTATTATTTTGCAAACAAAAACTGTTTCTAGTTGACCTGAATGATTTTCCTTGCAATTTCAGTTCACATTATAAACTGAACTCAATTACTAACATAGTTGTAGCCAAAGACAAAACTAGGCTCTTTGGATAATGAGGGTTTCTAATAATGTATGCAACTCAGGCACGTTTGCGCAGAGGGAAAGCAATACATTTCCGCAGCGCCTCATTTGTTTTCTGCTGAAAACTTCCCAGCTCTTATGAAGTCAGATACTAATACTATGAATAGCAATGTATTGCTTCAGTGGAGCTACTGATTCCATAATTTGTCCATAATTACTAATGCTTCAGCCTTATATATCTTACCTTAAGTATGATTTTTGCTTTACTAGGCCATTTGTGGTTAACAAATATTCCAAACGAAACAGGGACTACAAGAGCTACCAGTGAAATTCCTGTAAAAAAAGAAGAGAGTAGTTAAGCCCACATATAATGCACAAGTACAGGACAAGAGGACAGACACCATGTGGAGCGGCTGGGGATATAGAGCAAGCCTTCAGAGGGTGTTTTTGGTATGCACACCCCAGCACGCATGCACACTCTACCCACACCTGCCCATTTGCTTTTCTATAGAGTCTGTTATCTTTGGCAGCCTGTTGAAGTAATTGCCATTCTGCTGAGCTACATGCTCATTCACCTGCATCAGAAAGGCAGACAGAAATCTGAGTGTGCTAATCATCACAATCCTGTGATGTGAGTAGCTATATTAAATGTTCATTTTGTCTGCAGGTGTTTTGCTACTGTACCATATCAACAGCTGGTTTAGAGCTTTTTTTGTTTTGGCCTCCCCTCTCCAGTATTTATTTTGAAAGCACAAGCAATGTATGTTATTTTTTTTTCCTCCAAGACAATGGGAAGTGAAATTGACGAATGTGAAAGTGACTCTGCTGGCTTTTAAGATTAGCACAACATGGAACCATGCTTGATAAACACTTGGACCACAGTGCTGCAATGCACTGGAGCGTGTATTTCTAAATACTTTGACTATTTTCTCTTCGTAGCTGGATGAGATTTTTGACAGGAAGTCAAATGAAGCCACTCCCGGCAGTGTAGATTACAGCTTTTCAAAGAGACTCAGCAGTTTTAATCACTTGCTTAATTATCCACATGTGCTTAAGTACTTTGCCAGATTACAGCCTCAGTGCTTTCCAGGATTGTGGCTTAAAGCTGTTACAAACACTTCCATCCAGGGGAAGCAGCTATTCCTGAATGAATTTTATATTCTTATCCCAGTACCATGCAGCTCTTCAAACCATTTGAAAAGAAAGCCATGCACATCTCATGGTATAAATATCTGTGTCATATATATATGTAATGATTTCAAGTCTTTGTTCTGCAGAGCTGTGAAGGACTTAGAATTATCTAGGTGCCCAATTCCCACAGAAGTTATTGGAAAGTAGAAGAATTAATATTTTTAAAAAAAATCTGAGGTAATTTCTTCATGACTTTGCAAGATGATGGTATAGATGTGGTTCTTACTAGAGGAAGGATAAAGAAAAGAGCCAGAAGGGAAAGCGCTGGTTCACTGGACTCACCAATGCTGTTGTAGGGCAGTACGATTGCACTAGAATCAGTCCACATCTTGGTGTAAATAAAGAGGCAAAGTGGCATCATCCCCATTGCAAGCAGCGTGGAGCAAGTTGTCATGCTGATGCTGCAAAGAAATTGGGTAGCGTGACAGTTCATCTCATGCTATCCTATAGTCTTTCTCATTTTCTTATTATGACTTAACAGCTTATGAAAGGTTGGGCAAGAAATGCTGCTGGCTACAGTCAAATTATGCTGTATACCAGGTTAGAAAAAAGCTAAATGGAAGGAATGACTTCTGCTGGAAGAAAAGGAAAAAGAGGAACATAAAATGTCAAGGTGTTCTGCAGCCACAGAACAGTAACTTTCAGTGCAAATGAGGCAGTCAGACAGGCAGCCATCAGTAAGGTCTGTTGGCAAGTCTGTCTGCATGCTACCTGTCCATCTGGCTTCTGAGAGGGTGGAAGCTGGGCAGGGTCAGATGGACATCAAATGGGGCTTTCCATTACACCAGCAGTTCTGGAGTATTTAGGTTTCACTCCAAAGTCAACAGCATTAAACAAAAAGATTTCATTGTCTAGGATGTGTGGTGTAATAGAGATCCCTTTTGTGGCTTGTTTTGTTCTAGGCCAAAGTAGGTACTGAGAATTACTCAGTGAAGCTGAACATAAGTATTACTTGCTTGGTTTGTGCAAAGACATCTCTGTTTTGAAATATAAAGTCTCAATACACATTGTACTAAAAGATGCATTCTTATACAGGAATGAAGAAGGAGGAAAATGCAAGACAGCTAAAATAAGGAGGAAATTACCAGAATTTGAGTAGAATAGATAGAATTATGCCTGCAAATCACATTTCTCTGACATAAAAATCATGAGAGAGGATTCTAATTAAGGGACTTTGGAAACTTCCTTTTAAGTCTCACGTCTGATTTGATTTTTATGTGGCTTACCCTGAGAAAAGGGCCTACTGTCCCACAAACTGGGCAGATCCAGAGAAATCTAGCACAATTATACAGAAACCACAGGAATATCTGCATTAATTTTGATTCCTGTCACACTCTGTTTCAGAGTCATTGAATAAAACTTTGTAGGAGCCTCTAGTAAGGGAGTTCCTACAGACAGAGAAAAAAAGAGCCATTGGTTACAAATAGGGTCAGGTGAAGCCCCAGGTGGATTAAAGAGCTTATTTCTCATACCTCCATATTTCCTTCATCTTCTTACTGTTCCTACATCTATGTCCTACTCCAAAGTCTGCCCATCCTCTAACCTCAGTTCCCATGCTTGCAGAAGCTCCATGGGGAGCTCTGGAGAAAAGGAGACAGTGTTTCAGAAGCAATTATTCTTGTGAAATATCAAGAGATGTCAAAAACAGATGTCCCTGTTTTTAAAGCTTTAGAGGATATCACCTGAGTCTGAGTTCTAAGAAAGATATAAAACCTCATACTTCACCTCCCTGTGACTACATGAACAGAAGAAAATTCATTCCGGCTCTAACTTGTGGTTAGAGCACTGTGACATTTTGAAGCAAGACTGAGTGATGAGTTGTTATGCATAAACATAAAACATTATCAGTTAAAAGCAAAACCTTGGTCTGATATGACGGACAGGCTTTCTATAATGCTATGCTGACTCCAGAAACCAGTAAAGCTACTTACGCTGTTATCCTTCTACCAAGAACTGAGGATGCTTGCATTGCCATCTCTACTGTACCTCCCTATCCTCTGGTCCCTGCATTATTGTTGCAAAAATCCTAATCAAAAGCCTTTAACTTCTTAAGGTAAAGGTCTTTACCTGAAGAATAATCTTTTAAAGGTATTTTAAATTTACTTCACCCTCTGCCAGGATCATGGGATATAAACCCTACTCATGTTTATACTATCAACAATTTGGATTTTTACCACTGATTTCAGTGTTGTGACTCTGAACATATGGAGCTGAAAAAGCATAGTTTAGCTCAGTGTATTCTTCCAAGGAAAGATTAGGACACAATATCAGACTTGTGGAGGATATCTTTCCATCTGTGTTTTCTTAGACATGTATTTATTGAAATAAAGTGTCTTCCAGTTCCTAATATCATAGGTCTTTCCTTTGCAGTGTCGAAGTTTGTGATTAGCAGAGCTGACTTCATACATAATTTGAAAGCAGGTTTTACATTAACACCTGAATGTGACAGAAAAGTTCACTATTTTCAAAGGGTGGAAAAAATGTCTTATTAAAGCTACAAATATTAACGTTCTTAGTCTATTTGCCCTAGCTCCACATCTTTCTTACTTCTATTATTTTTTCCATTTCTAGTTCAGACTGGCATATGATAAATTGGATGAATGCTCCAATTTATGTTACTCTGTGGGAAACAGAGAAATTATCCTGTTTATTTTAAAGCAAAGTAATCAGGATATAAAAATAAAAAGATGGCTCATTTTTAAGTGCTGTTTGAGCTAATGAACCCCCCATAGAATTTGCATCAAGAGTAGAGTTCACTTCTCCTGTGTGTTTGACACGTTAGACCATGCCAGGTGCCTTACGTATCTGTTTCTGAGTTCAGAGCACCCTGTCACCGAGACCATCACACTTCACCACAAAGAAGTTTTTTCATTGCACCCAGTGTGCAGGCCTGCCTTAGCCAGTGGTTTGTAGCCTGAAAAGCTTTCCATCAGTTTGAATACTCTGCAGAAGGTGCCAGGAGCAGATAGAATTACCGCAAGTGATTTTTCATTTGTATTATTTCCCAAAGAGAAAATCTATGCCTGCTTATTCATTGTATAGAACACAAAAGGAGAGAAAATATTTTTCCACAGGTGATATTTTTCAAGAAACATATCTTGAAGAACTATTGCCTGGCCACTGTTTCGTACACAGGATTCAGGTCCTAAACTCCTTTGTTTTTGTTTTTTTTTACTGCCGAAGATCTTGCGAGAAACAAAACCACAAAAATAGGTCTAAATCGGACAAAGACTTAGTAATTCTTAGCATTTTAGAGGTCTTCATCAATGGTAATTTCTGCAGCATCTGAAGGTTTATGATAGTGTTTTCTAATAGACACAATTCTCTTGTGCTGTATTCCTCATGAATTCTCCATGAACCAAGGATCTTTGCTATTCTGCTTATATTTATTACTGTTACAGTAACTAAACATCTTTATGAGAAGAGAGCTCCACCATACATGTGCTAGGAAGGTACAAAAGAAAGTTCAGACAATCCTTTTCAAGACAAAGTTTACACTGTAAAAAGCCACATGAACTACTTAGAGAATGGATGCTCTTACCTTAGGTCCATGTCTCCATCCACCCAGTAGGCAATGACATTGGAGGCTGTGCCCCCTGGACAGCATCCCATGATCATCACCACGACAGCTTGAATAGGAAGCACGTTAAAGGCCAGGGACAGCAAGAAGGCTGTGAGAGGCATAATTCCAAACTGGCAAAGGAAACCCACAAAAATACCCCAGGGTCTTTTTATGTGGTCCCAGAATTTCTTAAGTTCCACATTGCAACCCATGGAGAACATCACCAAAGCCAGCATGATTGTCAGAACAGTACTTAAAACTACGCTCAAAGTTTCATTAAAATTATCTTCTGGTAACACACAAGATGTGCCATTGCAAAGAGTAGCATTAGCTGGACAGGCTGTGGAGTTCTCTGCCAGAGGTCTAATGTTAAATTGCTGGGAAAGAAGGTAAGTCTGCATTTTGAAATACAGAATGGCTCAGTACATCCGAGGCAAACTTTCAAGCCTGTGTAAATGATTGTTTGTCAGTGACTTCTTTTAAATGATCCAGGAAGCAATAAAGTGCAATAAATACTTGAACACTGTTACTATTCTTGAAGGGTTTGGCACAGCGCTGATTCATATAGTTATAAAAGTTGCACTTGCTTGGTGTGGTGACAATTAATCATTTATTCATATGATAATGAGGAATCCCACATCAAAAGAATAGCTGTGTTAATATTTAAGGGTGTAAATAAGGCTTGTTGTACAGCTTAGCACAGAAAATGAGAATCACAGGAGGAAGAGAAAGTTTAGGCTTCATTCTTTGAATTTCTTGCATGCTTTTGGGAAAGCTGCTCATGCATGCACCGTCACTGGCATTACAGGGGTTTGTGGGGTGGAAAGGAGCAACCAAGTCACAAGAAACCATGAGTAGAGGTCCTGGGCTAGGTTTTGAAGTTGCTACTCTTGGTAAGCAATGCAGCATTCACCATGACACACGGGCTCATTTGAATGCAGTGAGATCCTCATTTGATTGTATTTTTAGTATAATAGAAGTTATGACTGGTGTACAGTGATAACTCTACCACAGGACTGCATGTGTAGTTATGTCACTTTTGGCTTCTAAATCTAATTTCTAGGTAATCTTTCTGATAACTTTCTTAGCTGCCATGTAATCCTGAAGATGGTGAAGATTCCTGTCTGCAAAGTTTCCCATGATGGAGTATGCTAAAGTGCCATCTGTTTTTTTGGTTTCAGCACATGGAGAACCGCCACCACCCTGTCAACTCCACATCCCTCCCATTATAGGCACTGGGTTACCACATGGTGACTGCTCTTCTCTGCTGGTGTCTCATATTGCTCCTGGCCATGTCCACCTCATCAGCCAGGAAAGGGAGAGGGGAGGTGGAGGGGAGAAGGGTATGGAGACATGGTTTGTGCTTATTCAGGCAGTGTGGAGATTTACGGTCATCCTGGCACCTTCTTCCAGACACAGTTGTTGCAGTCACTCTTCACTCCATCTTGGGCTGGAAATGGAGGGCAGCCAGAGGAAGAGTGTGGAGTGGCAAGGACAGAGGAGGAAGGAAGGTGAGGTGTTTGTTGAGCTGACTGGGGAGCAGGTAGCAGGGTGGCAGGACCAGGGCACTCCTGTGGAGCTGTGGTACCCAGCCAAAGATGACTGCGTCTCCTTCAGTGCAGTTCAGCATCTGCACTGGGGACGAGGGTGCAGGTCTTTTTTGCCTGGTGTGGAACGAAGGTTGGGAGTCAAATTTTTGGCTTTGATGTGGCTCATTGCTCTCTGTTATCCTCAATGCTCAGAAGGAATGAGAGGCTGAGCCACGTCAGTTTTCTTGGGACCTCTTTTAGGTGTGTCAACTGTGGAACAGCTTTAGGACATTGGACGTGCTTCTGGTGTGTCTAATGCCTTGTATGTTCATGGGACCAGAGGAGCTTCACAGCATCTTCAATGTATTTGCGTGTCCCCTTTCTCCTTACCTTGATTCACATCCTTCTCTCATGTATACTTTCCTGTAGAAAAACATCATACTGCAGTCAGCACTTAGACATCTTTACTGTGCTTTTCATCCTACTAGGTGGTTGCTGTGCAAATATTCATGCATTAAATATCACAGGAATTTTGCGCCATTGATATTCTGTAAAAGCGAAGAAAAGCACAAAGAGCACTCAGATGAGTTCTTCATGCCAAAATAACAGCAGCAACAACAACAAAACATCAGAAAGCTGGGATAATTTTAACTATACAGCATACTTGAATCTTGGTTTCGAGTTATCAAAAGCCTACTTAAGTCCTTGGGTTTTCTAGATGGTCAGAGGTTTACACCTCAGGCTTCCTCAAAATTTGGGAATGTTTTCAGGGGAAGAATTTTGATGCTTATCTGTACTCATGATTTGGGGCAGAATTAGCTTCAAGTGTAGATCTTAGACTAAAATAAAGTCCAAAATATAAAGTGCACTTGATGCATCCCAAACATCTTTAGTTTTCAATACAGAAATATTTTTTACTAGGGTAACGTGCTAAACCATAATTATCTTCAGCAAGCAAGATTCCCACTGAAAGCCTCAGCATTTTATGCCTAACCTCACTGTGCAAAATGATAGGAGTTTCTTTTTTTCTTTTAAACTTTCAACCATGAACCATTGAGGAGGTGCTGGCTGCATTAGAAAGGATTTCCCAGCATGCTCAGATGGCACCTGTTTCTTTACAGGGAGGTCAGCTAAATAGCTGTATCTCCTAAGTCACTGCTGGGTGCCTGATGGGATAATGTCAGAGTAGCTTTATCCTCCCAGGCAGCTGGCAACTCCTACCCTGCGATTAGTGCCACATCTGTGTGACTATGATATGTCTAATAGAACAATAAGCAAGGTAATAACGGGTAGATGAAAGGAAGAGAAGGCTTCAAGATCTCGCTTTGGCAGAAACCTTATTCTCCGTGTTACGTTTTCTTTCAAATAGAATGTTTTAGGAACTTTTATTTTTTAATCCAAGTCTTTTAAAGGGCTAGTTAGGTTTTAAAAGCATGCCTGTATTACCATTTTCTAGAAAACCTGTATCAGAGTATGGATTTGCACATGAACTTGCTTCTTGTTGAAACTCAAATTTTTTACTAGAGCATCTCCAACAAGACTCAGTGCCACAGGTGACTTTCCTAGGCTTGTAAATGTCTGTGATGCTGTAGAAACCCAGGGTGAGTGGTTTGGAAGAGGAGGTAGGGGATCTCCGACTTAAAGCAGCTATTTCCCAGGCAGAGTCTCATGCAGTGGATTGCTTTTGCTCCCTCCCTTTCCCTTCCAAGTGTGTGTCTGGGTTATGAAGGGGTGCTCAATGCCATCCCCCAGAAACAGCACAGGAGAGGTGTCTGTGTTGTTGGTCTCCAGCCTCTGCTGAGAGATAAGAGTGTCCAGCTCTCGTTTTGGAGTTTGACTTTTGGAAATGGAGTGGAGTGGGACACCAACCTGCTCAGGATTTGGGTTCTACTGAGGACAGATGGGACATCAGCCACTCCTCTGCATGATCTTAGGGGCCAGCAGGTTGTGTAAAAATCTGTATTTACTGCTATGTTTGCCTTCATTTTGTCTTCTTTGTTGTGAAAGGGAAGTTTCCAACTCATTAGTTTATCAGTTAACTGTATAAAACCTTAGATCACAAAAAATCCTTCCTGGAAACAGAACTGAGCCCTTCTGAATTCATCTTACTATTAGACTGACAATGCCACAGTTTAGCACAGATGCTAATATCTATTTCAAGAAATCCCCATGTGTTGTTAAAGAACTAAAACTATATCCAACACATTGAAATATTTGCAGACACAGTTAAAACCACAGTATGTTACAGGAGGTACAGTATTATCAAGTAGGCAGGCAGCTCTGTTAGGAGTGCTGGTTTTCAAATATTCCTCTAGTCTGTTTTGCTTTTTACAGTGTGCTTCTGGGATTTAATCCACATGCAGGCTAGTTGGAGAAAATAGATTAACAACCCCAAATTTGTCTGCTTTCTGTAAGTTTCCTGATGCCCTTAGGGAAAGCAGCATTTCAGGGGTTGTTAGAGGTGCTGAGCTGTTGCTTGCTTTCCACCTGAGTTATGGTGCTTAACTGGTGAGATGGACTATGTACTGCTCTTACTGATCCGTGAACCAAATTGGCATTTTTTGCCAGTTCCTGTTGTGCGTGTTATTCAGTGATTTTAAGCATTTGTCACTGATTTTCAGAGAAGAAAGTGGCCGTGAGTCTGGTGACATTTCAATGATGATTAACATCCCTGGTCTAATTCTGGACACGTCTGTCAGCATACCTCAAAAATGAAAATAATTAATATTTATACAGAGAAATACCAGCCCGATACTACCAAATTGTTGTATTCTGAATTGTCTTCTTGAATTTTCATCGTGATGAGTTTTTCAGCTTGTGCAACTGAGTTTAGCATCACTTCAGCAGACAAATCCAGACAGATGAAACCTGTAAGGATCTGTCCTGTGCCGACAATTAGATAATTGATTTATCCATTAACTCAAGCAGTTATAAAACAGGAATAGCAGTAAATGCATACAGAGCCCTACACTGAGAAAGACAATTTAACAGTTTGTCTTTTATGGATGTCTGGTGCTTATTTCTGTGATGTTTCTCTTAATGAGACTTATGAATCTTCCCTGTCTGCTTAATTCAGACTCTGAGATGCTTCTTAGTATATTTATGTCTTGGTTAGAAGAAACTTTTCTTTCAAATAATTGATTTCCTAAAGGCAATTACCTGCTTTTTACCACCGTCTTTAAAAGAGAGACAGCAATTATACCTAGTATTGGTGACCTTGTTTATAACTTTAAAATTTAGTACAACTAAAGATGGAAGATTTTTGTTTGCTTGATTGGAAGAAGTTGTACTACATAATTGAAAGTTTATTGAGGGCGTTAAGAAAAGAAAATTTTCATGGAATAGCAGGAAAGAAACTTGTGACATTAAAATACATCTGAGTCAGGGCAGCTTCCTAAACATTACTGAAAAGTCATCTGTAAAGCTGACTAACTGAATCTTTGCATCTACATATTTACATTTCACTGTTTGGTGAATGACTGCATTCTGCCTGTTAGACTCTTGAGCTGAGTCTCAAACGAAATACTGAGGACACGAGCACTTTTGCATTTGACTGTCGATGAGTTCAGCTGGGAAAAAATATCTGATGTGTTACATACTCAGATTACAGGTAAATTTTGCTTGCTGGTGTACTAAACCCTGAGAGATGCACCTTATGCCCATGGCTGAACTCCTGTCCACCCTAAATAGTTGGTTTGAGGGATATGGTTCTGCTATGATTTGTCAGGACTCTAAATATCGTGTGTTCAAGGAGAAATACACAGTGCATTGGTATTTTTGTGACACATTTCAGCCTCAGCTATCATGACAGAAAGTGCAGCCTTTCAGCGTACCCATCTTCAGTAGCCAAATGCAAGTGTTTTCAATAGAAC